TCAGGGGAATATTCAAGAACAGAACCTCAGTATCAGGATTCAGGGGAATATTCAAGAACAGAACCTCAGGATTCAGGGGAATATTCACAGGGAATTACAGCCAGAAACCGCCTGCAGGGAACAGGCCTCTGAGACTCAGGATTCAGGGTATTCACAGGTAATTACAGCCTCATCCAGGGTAATATTCATACGGATTACAGCCAGAGATGCTGAGTCTGACGGGTTTAAACCAGCGGTTCCCACCCTGGTCCTCATGTACACCGCCCTGCATGTTCTCCAGGTTTACCTGTTCGAGCTCACCAGATTTTATTAGATGGAAAGACTTTTCAGCTGTGCAGAAAGCTGCTGAAGTCCATCCATTAGAGTCAGTTGTGCTCAAACAGGTAAACCTGGAGAACATGCAGGGCGGTGTACATGAGGACCCGAGTTGGACTTCCTGTTTTAATGAATGGGACTTTAGCAGCTTTCTGCACAGCTGAAAAGTCGTTCCATTCATCAGAATCAGGTAAACCTGGAAACCATGCAGGGCAGTGTGTGTGAGGACCAGGCTGGGAAACACTGATTTAAACCATTCACCGACAAAACAAAACAATCCTCAATCAGAGTTTAAAACCGAAAAGAAAGTCAGACATCGGTGAATGGCTAAAACGACTTTTCAGCTGTGCAGAAAGCTGCTAAAGTCCCATCCATTAGAACAGGGGTGCTGGAAAAGGTAAACCTGGAGAACATGCAGGGCGGTGTGCATGAAGACCAGGGTGGGAAACACTGGTTTAAACCATTCACCGATGTCTGTTTTTCTTTTCGGTTTTAAACCCTGATTGACTGATGCTGACGGGTTTATAACCAGTGTTTCCCAACTAGGGTTGTCACGATACTAAAGTGTTCAACTGGATACCGATACTCAGAAAAATACTCGATACCACAAGGATAAAAACAAAGACCCCAAAATGTAAATGTAACTATCCTCTAATTGATGAGAGCCCTTTATTTAGTGTAGCTGAGAATGAGAAGAATGACTTTTGGGTCAGACAATACGGTGAGAAAGGAATCAGCTCAGTAAGAAATGCTGTTTCCTGAACTCATCAGAGCTGAGCCAGAATCAGTTCCTGCCTATTCTCCGGGTTTTATCTGAGCATTTTAAAAATGTTTACTATTTCTATCATGTTAGATTTTGGATTTGGGAAACAATCACTTCTTTATTATATGTTTGTCCTAATTTATCAGCTCAGAAATTATAGACGATGTCCGTTTTTTCTTTTTGGTTCTAAGCCCTGATTGCGGATGTTTTTGCTCTGTTTTGTACGTACCCAGGATGACCCCGCAGCACAGCAGGGCGCGGGCGGAGGTGCGCTGGCCCAGGATGAGGAAGGACAAAAGCACGTTGAAGACGGTGCTGAGCGAGCGGCCCACGGTGTAGAAGGCCACGCCCACGTGCTTCAGGCACAGGTTGTTGAAGGTGATCATGCCCACGAACACCACCGAGAGCGGGAGAACCTGCCGGAGTTATGGAGAGGTGAAGATTCATAAAGCTTTGAAATCCATCCATCCATCTATTATCAATACCGCTTATTCCCTCATGGGGTCGCGGGGGAACTGGAGCCTATCCCAGTGGTCAACGGGCGAGAGGCGGGGTCCATCACAGGGACACACAGAGACACCCAAGGACCAACAACCAGTCACACTCACATTCACTCCTAAGGGCAATTTCCCCGATCTCCAATCAGCATAACATGCAGGTTTTTGGAGGGTGGGAGGAAGCCGGAGAACCCGGAGAGAACCCACAGACACAGGAGAACATGCAGACTCCACCCAGAAAGGTCCTGGTTCCCCCGGGACTAGAACCCAGAACCCTCTGGTCCTGGTTCCCCCGGGGACTCCAACCCAGAACCCTCTGGTCCTGGTTCCCCCGGGACTCCGACCCAGAACCCTCTGGTCCTGGTTCCCCCGGGACTCCGACCCAGAACCCTCTGGTTCCCCCGGGACTAGAACCCAGAACCCTCTTGCTGGGAGGCGACAGTGCTAACCACCACACCACCGTGCCGCCAAGCTTTGAAATGTTCCGTCCAATTGGCTCACTCCTGTGTTGAAGCTTCATGGTGATTCATTTGCTCTATGGTGCCCTCTAGTGGACTCTAGTAACAAGTGGAGGGCATGAATGCAGAAATTCTTTCTAAATCTAGGAATATGATATAAACAGGGAGTGCAGCAGGGATTGAAAAGCCTCCTGCCAAAGCTCCACAGTTTGATACAAAAAAGGTACTGCTGTATATATAACTATGTGTGTAAGAGTACCTTACTTAATGATAGATATAGAAAACGTAACGTACAGCATGATTCTAATGACACTCTGGCTTTGGTGTCTGAAGCATTGAATTAATTCATCAATGATGTTTGTGATGCTGCCGTTACCTTATTGCAGTGTTTTTCAACCTTTTTTCAGCCAAGGTAAATTTTTTCATAGAAAAAATCTCGAGGCACACCACCAACCAAAAATGTTAAACAAATCTGTAGCCGCCTATAGTAACACTATAGTTATTCTTATTTTATTCTTATGTTATCTTAAGTGTCTTGAATAGGAATCAAATAAACACAAAAATGTATTTGTATCATATTTCATATTTCTTCTTTCAAATTGCACTTAACATTATATACAAAATCTAGTCATAAGGAATTATTAAATGATTACTCCACCAGTCACTAGAACAGCACAGACACTCAAAAATGGCATATTGTTTGCAGATAATTAATTCAATATCAAAAAATCTTTTTAGACCAATGAGGTGAAATAGGATGATTTTCTACACCTGACCATCACTAACGGCACACTAGTGTACCGAGGACCAGGGGTTAAAAACACTGTCTTAATGGACGGATGGATGTTTGTGATGCCTATACATAAACTATAAACTTTTATATGGTGTCTGTCTTTATGATACAATGACAGGGAAGCTTGAATAGATCGCTAACACACTTTTAATTAAGTCCCAAGTCCACAAAATGTGAGTGGGGGGGATTCATTGCGTTTTGCTGGCCCTCATATTTTAAAAGATTGATATGTATTCATTGGTCTATATATTAGACTGGTATATATATATATATATACACATTGGTATATATTTTAGTCACTCAAATCTCTGCGCTGTGTTGCTTCCTTGTATATTTGTTTGTTTTTGCTGTTTGTACTTTATGCACCTTTTCCTCCTTTTGAACTCTAACCGATGTGGGACCAGTGAATTTCTCCACTGTGAGATCAATAAAGCTCTTATCTGATGTGGCGCTATATAAATGAAATTGAATTGAATTAATTTTAATTTGGTAATGTCATTGTCTGAACGTGTGTTTTAACTGATGTTGTATTTTGTGATTTTGTGTTGTTTGGTCTTCCTGCCTCAGGACCACAGATGTGAATTAGCAACTATGCTAGAATCTGCCTCATTTACAATCTGTGTGAGATTGTTCATTAATGTGCACTGTCCTGATTAAATAAATAAATAAATTAAATAAATCGCCAAAACGCGAACCACTTCCTGAATCAGTCACGTGGTGCGGCCGGCTTCATACGTCACCTCATACGTCATCGACACAAGCTTCGATACAGATACGGATACGGAGGAAAACATCTTTACCTGCCGGGCCGTGCGCGGGTCGAAGCGCGCCCCCGCGGCCGCCGCCGCCCCCCCCACCGGGCACGGGAACGCGCACACGCACGCGCTCACCGCGCACTGGAAGAAGGTGACGAACAGCGGCGCGTCCAGCTCCCTGTCGTCCAGCAGGTGGTTGTTCAGGAACACCATGGCGATGGACACGGTCCAGTAGAGAGACACCACCGCGGCGATCCGCGCTGCCCGGAGAAGGAAGCCCCCCCCCGGGCCCCCCGGGGCCGGGCCCCCCGGGGAGAGGGCCCCCGGGCCCCCCAGGGCCATCCGCAGCACCCCGGACCGCTTCGGCTGCGTCCGGTTCATGGGGAAACGGAGACGGGACACGGAGGTGAGCGGGAGACTGTCATGGCCGCCGTCCGCCGGAAGCAGAACAACCACTTCCGGTCTGACTTCAAGGTAAAAGCCGGAAGAAGCTACGCTGTTCAAAGTTAACAGACTGTAGACGCTTGATTTTTCAAAGAAGATGTAAGATCATTTAGTGTCTGAAGCTCCCAGTTAAGCACAGACTCTTCTGGTCATAGAGTATAAACACCTGAGAAAACACATTCCTAAAGTAGAGTGTAGGGAGGATATTTATGGTATATTTTATGTTTATGGTATATGTTCTAGTCCAACTGCACGTAAACGGCCCGACAGAAGACAAAGAGTAAATGTCTATGCTATGGATCAACTCCATCCTGACTACAGGCCTGGAGGGAAACAGCCTGGTATGAGACAAAAAAGCGAACATTCAGGATATGGATGAAATTTAGTCTTGCTACACGCCTTCATATAAACAGCCTGGTGTAAGAAAAAAGAGCACAGACACCGGATACCAGATATAAGGGCAGACACACCCAGAATTAGGGAGAGTTTTCTCTGACCTCTCCAGACTGGATGCATCAATCTGTACTCCTGACTGGGACCTAGCTGACAATAAAATCCTCTTTTGTTCCACCAAGTTCTGCCTCAGCAGTTTTTCATGCAGTACCTCCACTGGAGCCATCCCATAATTCACCACACACTCTCAACTCATTTATGGCTTTAACTGGCTTCCACTTCTGAATCAGTTTAACTCGGGGGTCCCAGAGTTAGTCCTGAGGGTCGCTGTCCTGCAGGTTTAGCCAGTTTCTGAGCTGATCCATTTAACCAGAACCAGGTGTGTGGAAGCAGGGAAACACCCCAAACATCATCAGAAATACTTTAATACTTTAAACATGTGGGACAGCAACAGACACTCCTGGAACAGAAACCCCATAAAAACTATCACAATAGTTAGACTGCTCACACCTGGACATAAATACTCTAAAATGATATCCTGCATGGCAAAGGCAGCTATAGAAACAGTCTTTAACAGCCAACCTACAGACTCCTCCAATATGGACATTGTTTTTGTAAAAGATGTGACAGTCTTAAAACATATCCGACGATTTGGGAAAACGTTTGATTAAAAAAAAAAAAAAATTGGTTTGTTTGTTTTTTGCATTTGGACTACCCATGTTGGAGTTGATGTCATTCAATGAGACCATAAATGCCCCTTTTTCCAAATCAAGTAAGGTTTTCAAAGATCCCAGACAAAATTTGGATGACCCTACAGCCAAAGCACGTCACTATCTTGTATTGGTATCAGGCCAAACCGGATTCAAATCACGAGTGTCACTACTTCCTTGTTGAAAAAAAAGAAGAAAAAAAACTTAATTTAATTTATAATTAAACCATGCAATAATAATTTTATCAATATAAATACAGAACTACACATTTGAGTCTAAATAAATCAGCACGTATTAGTTATTTCTGAAGGTGACAGTCACAGGTGTTAAAGCTTCATGCATAAATTTGACTTTCAATAAACCGTCACTGACAAGGAAATAGAGGGAACGGCGCCTTTTTCTCTTTAAAGTAAAAAAATAAAATAATAAAAATGGAAAACTTTTCTTACCTGAAGTTGTTTATTAAGTGTAATTCGGATAAATATCTAATCTTTCAGCCCCAGTTTTGGTCAGTTTCTGCCGGACGGAGGCTGCTCGGACAGAAACATTTATGGGTCTGAGTCTACCTGCAGACAAGATGGCGACCGGAGGGGGCGCTGTCATGGAAACAGAACTTCCGGTTTAGAATGCTGACGTCATGACGTCAACGGAAGTGACGGCAAGTGAGCTTCAACAATAAAACCTCAGAGATATTAGCGTAAATGTTTTAAAACACTTGACGACTTTTTTAACTGCGTAAATGAATTAAAACTGAACTAAAACTGAATTTGTTTTCTGACTTTTGTTTTTCTTACTCACAATAATCACTTTTATTCAACACTTTCATATATGAGGGTTATGTTGTTTACCAACGTAAGCAAACCTTCAAATTGCTCTTATTCTTCTTTTAAAAAATATTTTTCTATGCTACAGAGTTTTATAACTTCCCCACTCTCAATGAAAATTAGCGTATGGCCAAAATTAACCATGAAAATACATTTAAAAAAATGTTTAATTGAATTTTGTCTTGAAAAATAAACAAACAGTCCACAGTCTAAAGGTGTAGATTTTTTGTACATATAGTTTTGATGTTAATCTTTGATAACTCAAAGAAAGAGTAACTGAGAAACCAAATAATGAAATAATTGCATTCATTCCAAAACAAAATAACTGGTTTTGGTATCTATGAAACAAGAAAAAAAAACTGCTTACAATTGATATGATCTCATTAAAGTTTACTAAAATACTCTCAAAATTCTTCATCTCAACCACAGTCTCAGCTGTAAAATGTGTCTTGACTAACTTGATTGAGGAGACTCATCACCTTTTTGCAATGAGAAATTAACCCTGGCAACCAGGTTTAGTTATTCATCATCAGGTTCTCCAGAATGACTGAACATTTTAATGTTGGCAGTGTGAGGCCTCAGTGGGTAGCGTGTTGTTTGCTTTTTATGCCAGTAGGTGGCAGCAAATCAACGTTTTTGGGTCTTTTTTAGCAGTGCCATGATTGTACAGTATTCATTTAAGTGCTGTAAATATGTGGAAAATAGCGATTTTCATTAATATGATTTTTTTTCATTTTTAAATTTTATTTATTTTTTATTTGTTTTTTAGCAAGATAGCAGTCAGGGATTCTAAACCCAAGGAAAATGGTTTAGGGTTCTCTATCCCTTAACCCCAAGTCTGTCTCCATCCATCTCCTCCTAACTGCTATCTGTCTGTTTAGATATGTTTCTAATGCAGGACCACAGCCTCGATAAAAGAAGAAAAACTTCCTCTCCTGCTGTACTTTACTGAGTAGACTTACTCGCTGTGAAACCCCCGTCTGCTGCCATCTTTGTTCTCCTCCACAGTTGTGAGCTTGCTCAGTTGCTGGAAAATTGCTCTGAGTCTTGTTTGTTGGTGTAATATTTTCTGCTACAGTACCCAGTCCCCCCCACCAATCACAGCCAGGACCTGATGCCATGTTCTTCCAGGAAAACATGGGTGGTATCACACACACACACACACACACACA